GTCTTGTTAGTCCTTCAAAACGAATCACCTCACTTTTGAGGATTAAATTTCATTTGCCGCTCTTTAGACCATCTGACGATGTTGTCCTGTAGTCTAAGACCTTCCTCCTCACTATTTACCACACCGTCAACATTTGTATCATTCTTAAACTTACAGATCATACCTCCTTTATTCATGTCTAGATCTTTAACGTACACAATAAACAGCAAGGGACCCAGCACCAAACCTTGTACACCACTGCACACAGGCTTCCAGTCACAAAAACATAATTTGACCATCACTCTCTGCTTCCTGCCAATAAGCCAATTTTGGATCCAGTTGGCTGAATATCTCTGGATCCCATGGGCTCTTACCTTCTTAGCCAGTCTGCAATGCGAGACCTTGTCAAAAGCCTTAATTCAGTCCATGTAGACTGCTTCAGCCTCACTGCACTCATCTACATACTAGTCACCTCCTTAAAAAATTCACATTTGTTGGATGTGAGCTCCTCCTTACAAAGCTACGTCAACTATCCTTGATTAATACTTGCCTCTTCAAGTGGAGATTAATTCTGTTCTTCAGAAATTTATTCCAATCGTTTCCCTACCACAGTTGGTCTGTAGTTTCTGAGTTTATTTCTACCACCCATTTTGAATAATGGTACCACATTAGCTGTCCTCCAGTCCCTTGGCACCTCTCCTGTGACCAGAAAGGATTTGAAAATTCCTATCAGAGCCCATGCAATGACCTCCCTTGCCTCCCCCAGCAGCCTTACCTGGGTGTGTGCATTTATCCACTTTTTTAAGCTAAAACCAATCCCTCCTCCCTGTCAATTTGTTCAAATATATCACAGTCCCCATCTCTGATCTCTACACCTACATCATTTTTCTTAACAGTGAATACAGATGCAAAGTACTCATTTAAGATTTCAGCTGTGTGTTCTGGCTCCACACACAAATTGGTACTTTGGTCCCTAACAGGCCCTGCGCTTTCTCTGGTCATTCATTTGCCCCGAGCATACTTATAAAATGTCTTTGGATTTTCCTTGATGTTACTTGACAGTGTTTTTGCATTTGCCCTCTTCACTGCTGTAATTTCTTTTTAAGCAATCCCCAGCACTTTCTATACTCCTCTAGGGCATCTGCTTATTTGAGCCATCGGTATCAACCATGAGTTGTATTTTTCTCTTTCCTGATCCAATCTTGACCATCCCTTGATATCCAGGGTTCTCTGGGCTTGTTGATTCTATCCTCTCCTTCATGGACACTTGTTGGCCCTGTACACTCACTGTTAACCTTTTTTGAATGTCTCCTACTGCTCTGATGTGGATTTTATTGCAAGTAGCTGCTCCTTGCCCGCTTTGGCCGGATCCTGTCTTATCTTCTTAAAATCAGCTTTCCTCTATTCAGAAACTTTTTTATTTCCAGTCCTTTTACGTTTTCAAAGTTGTTAATTGATGCAAAACACATTAGAGCATCTAAGACCCGATTAACAAGGCGAATACTTCCTGAGAAAAAGATTTTCTATGACTAACACTAGTCATGACTGACACACTGCCTACTCACTGTAAATACTCTGCTTCCTTCCATCTCTAATTCTAAGACTCTCTCACCAATGTTGTGGCTGCTACACTTTTAATTCACCTGGCTCTCCACACAGTTAGGTACTGATAACGTTCTTGTCAGTCTTCCTGAAAGTATTCTCCATGCAGTAAGTTTCAATAAGTCTCAAATCAGTTCTTCGTAGAAGCAAAATGCAGAAATATCCCAATAGTCAATGTTAAGTGGGAAGATTAAATTTGGAGTTGGGTATTCTTTTGTGATTCAGATCCATGTATGTTTTTGAGATGATGTTTAGGGAGATTTACTCCATATCTAACCCTGTACTGTCCCTGTCCTGAAAGTGTTTGATGGGGATAGTATAGAGGGAGCTTTATTCTGTATCTAACCCAGCGCTGTACCTGACATGCGAGTGTTTGATGTGTACAAATATCAATCTTTTGCGAGAAGTACTCGGAAGTAATTTAAGTTTACATTCTATCTGAAGGGCTTCCTGAACTTGAAGTGGTCCCGCTTTGCTCGTGTTCTCTTCACTCGATCCATTGCCATCACACCAACTCTGCTGGTGGCATTGTTTCAAGATGTGGAACATCTGACAGGAATGAATGACTTTCTGAATGTTCTTCAAAGCATGCAGGTGAGATGATTCTCCTTCAATAACAACATCTTATTACAGGGCTTTTAAATATACAAAGTTACTCCGCAAATAGACAACCCGAAGGAAAATCCCACACCAAGAAGAGATTAGTGGACTTGATAGAAAGCTTAGTGAAAGAGTGGATGAAGGTTTGAAGTTTGATTTAAATGATGGAAGTGAAGTTTAGAGAGAGGTTGTTCACAAAGCAGCTGAAGGTTTTGCCATTTATTGGGCCATACTGGGGAGAAAGGATGTACCCACTGGAGGTGATGACAAAAATTAGATGCATGGAAGGCATTGGGGGAAAATGGAGCGTTTTGAAGATGCAATAAAATTAGAGTAGATTGCTGTGTTTCAGTAAGATGAGGTTGAGAAGTAATTTGTTGATTTGGACAGAAATCTGAAGTTCAGTGTGTTGAAGGATGATGTCAACATAGGAAAGTGAGGATACAGTTGAAGGCCAAGTAAGGCTGGTATAGACCCAGAGAGTTTTGAATAAGTTGAAGTTAATGGAAGATGGAGGCCCATAAGCTGGGTTTTAGGAAAGGAAATTCTAGTTAAAAGCACTGTCAAAAGCCAAATTGTGGATGGTCTGTGGTCGTAGATGGGGCTGGAATTGGTGGCAAGATAGCAACACTTTGTCTAAAGACAGTGGTTTGACTGATCTGATGATATTGAGCTTGACTTTGTGACTAACCCACGCTTAAATGTTGGATACGCACAGATGCAGCTAGGAATCTTGATGTGCCTAAGCAATCAACTTTTGCAAAGAGTTTAAAGGCAATTCTAGAGCCAGCAGTATTTGGACTATATTGCTAATGTGGAATCCTGATGTGTGACCATATGTGCTTAACTTGCACAAATTGTGGGGTGAAATATCTGTCTTTTATCTGACTGGATTTCATTTATATTTTGTATTTATAACCAATGAACTTCTGTCGAATAGATTGAGGAGGTGGGATTAAGACACAAAAGGAAACAACTGTGGGCTTAATTGCCTTTCCGTGCTTCTAATGATCCATACGATGGATTCTTTGAGGAGTTGGGCATAGACGTTGATGTTTCCTTCCTTAGTTTAAGATTGATAATACAGTACAGGTCCTTTCTTCCAAAAAAAAAGATATTGGAACCTTTTTATCAGTTATCATTCTCTGCTAATTCACTCGCTTCAGTCCAATGCTCAACGTAGATGGGGGTAATGGGTGAGTTCATTCTTGAAAATCCCCAGATAAACCTTGGTAACCCTCATGATCGAATGTCCAATCCTTGCCCATAGGTAGAATGGAGAGAATTGGCCGGCATCTGCTCAGCCAATCACCGGCGGTTTCTCCTTCTACCATCTCCTTCCTCTGCTTCTGTGCAAGTCCAAACACCCATACAATTAGCACAGATACAGAAAGGTAATGTTACTACAGGACTTCATCACCTAATAAAGCAGTCGGTATGAATGAAAAATGAGCTCTTGGTCATTAAAAGTAACCCCTGAAAATCACACAGTAATGATCAAGAAAATCACAAGAGAGATGAATACAGTTATTTTGACTCCTGCTTTAGTGCCAGAATGCAACCCTTAGTGAATTCGACATCTGGAACACGCAACCCTGTCCTGGAGCAAGAGCACTAGCAAAACCAGATCCTCTCCTGGTCCCACGCTCTCTTTTCTGTCAGTTTTCAACTGTTGTCAGCAAGATATTGTCTTGGGGTGCTTGCCAAATACACCACAAATGTATAACAAAATAATTACTTGAATAAATGCAAATGCTGGAAGTACACAGGAGGTCAAGCAACATCTGTGAAGAACATAAATGGGGAACGCTTCAGGTTGAAGATATTTCATCAGACCCGGGAGAAAGTCGAGATGTGATCAGTTTTAAGTAAATGAAGGTGGGGGGAGGGTAGAAATAGACAAAAAGATGATGTGACAGGGTGGAAGACGGGAGAAATTAAATGACAGACAGTTCATGGTACAAGGCTAAAGGGAATGGTGATGGGACTAGCAAAGAATTAAAGGATTTGTCTCGAGAGGAAGGGTAAATGGTAGAATGGCAGCTGCCACCCAAAAGCAATGACAAGAGTGAAGGTAAGGGGAGGTTACTGTTCGAAATGGCCAAAATCAGTGTCGAATCTGGATGTCTGTAAAGTGCCTAATTAAAAGAAACGATGCTGTTCTTCGAGCTTGCATTGAACTTCATTGAAACGCTACAGGAAGCCAAGGACAGAGAGGCCAATATCAGAGCAAGGTGGAGAATTCAAGTGGAAGCTCAGTCTCACGTGGTTGAATGGAAGCATTTCTCAAAGCCTTCACCAAGTCTGTGTTTGGTATCTCCAACGTAGAGCAGACCACATCGTGAGCGAAATTGAAGCATATAAACTGAAAGCACTAAAAGGGAAGTGGTCTTCGGAGTGACGGAAGAGTGGACCAGAATGTCATGGAGGAAACGATCCCTTCAGAAAGCTTAAATGGGAGAACGAGGAAGATATCTTTGGGGAGGAATCACGCTGGAGTGGGGGAAATGATAGAGAATGATTCGTTCAACATGAAAGTTTGTGGGCTTGAATGTGAAGAATTGGGGGGGAAAAACGTGAGAACAGAAGAGTGGGAAACGAGTCACAAGGTCAAGGGCTCTCTCAACCATTGAAACCTGTAAGATCTTGAGGGGAATTGACAGGGTGGATTCTTAAAGGTTGTTTCCCTTTTCTGAGAGAGACTTGGACTACAATCAGCGGACTCTGTTAAAGAAAAAGGGATCTCCCATTTAAACTGAAGATGCAACAGAACGTTTTGAGTGCTGTTGACCTGTGGAATTCTCTATCCCAGAGAGCAGTGGAGACTGTGTCATTGAACCTTCTTAAGGCTGACTCCATTTAGTATGCAAAGTGTGTTGGAGGACACTGCTATATCTTGTAGTAAGCTTTCCATTGCCATGTGACTTCAAAGAGGTGTTTGCAAGGTTTGGAAATGTTTATGACCTACACCTTTAATGAGGTGATTACGATGGATCTAAAGTCATGTTTGAATGTAAGGCTTGCAATAAGACAGTGTTCCCCAATATAAAGTATGGAATGAAAATATTTTTTTCTTTGTCCCATACCTTTAGATCTGTGGCAACCAGATTTAGTCTTTCTACGTAATACTTGGTAAGGATAAAGGAATGATTGTAGATAAGTTGTGGAGAGGGACCAGATTTGAGGTATTGGCTAAGTTTCTGACCAATCATTGAGGAGTATTTTCTAACGATGAGTTTAGAAACATGTGGAAACCTGAATATTGTGGTCATGAATACTGTAGCTCAATGTCCTTTTAGCAAAAGGAATTGTGCAGTGATGAATGAAATGCTGCATAATGTCTTAGCAGATCAACCAAACTGCAGGCTGATAACTGCACTGACGTGTCATAAATAATTTGTTTCAGATGTTTGCAAGGCAATAGTCTCTATCATTTGGTCAAAGGGAAGAATTCTAAATTACCTTCTGTATTGGGTGATAGTTGCCTTGCTCTAGAGGGAACTGCAATTCATTTTTTTTCCTCCTGCATATTTGAATGCTTTACATGCAGGGAGAGGAGCTTTCATCAAGACTGTGTTCTCGGAGGAAATTCAGAGAGAACTTTGGCATTGTATAAGACTGTCCCAGATAATCTTTAATTCTGGGGATACGGCGTAGAACATAGAACATAGAACAGTACAGGCCCTTCGGCCCACGATGTTGTGCCAAACTTTTCCCCTAATCCTAAGGTCTATCTAACCTCCACCCCTACCTTATACTTTCATCCATATGCCTATCTAATAGCCGCTTAAATGTCCCTAATGAGGCCAACTCCACTACCCTCTCCGGCAATGCATCCCATGCCCCTACCACTCTCTGAGTAAAGAACCTACCTCTGACGTCTCCCCTATATCTACCTCCACTCACTTTAAAACTATGCCCCCTCGTAATAGCTACCTCCACCCTAGGGAAAAGTCTCTGGCTGTCTACTCTATCTATACCTCTGATCATTTTGTACACCTCTATCAAGTCACCTCTCATCCTCCTTCGTTCTAAAGAGGAAAGTCGTAGCGCTCTCAACCTTTCCTTGTAAGACCTTCCCTCCATTCCAGGCAACATCCTGGTAAATCTCCTCTGCACCTTTTCCAATGCTTCCACATCTTTCCTGTAATGAGACGACCAGAACTGGACACAATACTCCAGATGTGGCTGAACATAGGCTTTTGTATAGCTGGAGCATAACTTCACGGCTCTTGAACTCGATCCCTCTATGACTGAAAGCTAACACACCATATGCCTTCTTAACAACTCTATCCATCTGGGTGGCAGCTTTCAGGGAACTGTGAACATGAACCCCAAGATCCCTCTGCTCCTCCACACTGCCAAGAATCTTTCCATTAACCCTGTATTCTGCTTTCAAGTTTGTCCTTCCAAAATGAATCACCTCACACCTTTCAGGGTTAAACTCCATCTGCCACTTCTCAACCCAGCTCTGCATCCTATCAATGTCCCTTTGTAACCTAGAACAGCCCTCTGCACTGTCCACAATGCGACCCACCTTCATATCGTCTGTGAACTTGCTAATCCACTCTTCCACTCCTTCATCCAAATCATTTACAAAAATCACAAATAGAAGAGGACCCAGGACAGATCCTTGTGGTACACCACTCGTAACTGAGCACCATGTTGAATATTTTCCGTCCACTACCACCCTTTGTCTTCTAAGGGTCAGCCAATTCTGAATCCAATCTGCCACATTTCCCCCTATCCCATGCCTCCTTACCTTCTGCATGAGCCTACCATGGGGAACCTTATCAAACGCCTTACTTAAATCCATGTATACCACATCCACTGCTCTACCTTCATCCACGTGTTTGGTCACCTCTTCAAAGAATTCAATAAGGTTTGTGAGGCATGATCTACCCTTCACAAATCCATGCTGACTATCACGAATCAATCTGTGCCTATCCAAGTGATCATAAATCCTGTATTACAAAAGGGTAGACTGTAAGGAATGGGAAGGTCTTGTTAACGTAATAGTTGGTGATGGTAAGACGGTGGCTGTCCACATGGTAATCAAACTATTAAAGTTCGTTCCTCACAGATAATCAGGATTGATATCACACACCCTAAATCTGAGCAGCTGATAGAAGGTGAAGTGCCTGTACCTCTCTCATTCATGTGTTTTGTATTCGGTTCTTCAGGATCATCACAATAGACCCAGAGTGGATGATGGTAGGCTGAATGATCCTGGCTCTCGAAACACAGCTATCCCATCCAAAGACCAATACCTAAAGTGGGGACTTGGGAGAATGTATGTTTAACAAGGGTCCAGTGAATAATAGAGGGATGTGACTATTGTGGGATGTGCAGGAAAAGCTACTGACAAGTTCAAACATTGTTCAAATGTTCAAGATGAAGTAGTGAGGTCTATGTGAGGTAAGAGTGAAAAGTAAGAAAGTGTAGTGCGAGTTCTAATTGTGAGTCTGAGAGTGACTCTTGCATTAGAAAATGCTCACATACAGATAATGACCCCATGTTAGAGATCTTACTGTAGTTGTCCTGAAAAAAAAATCAAAGTATAAATAGAGACTGCAGCTTGAACATTTTACAATAAAAGGAGTACGTGACAGTCATGAGACAGGACAAAAAACAGAAATTCTCATGACTGTGAAGTTTTGTGATTGCCAGTAAGCTATGGGGCAAACTAATGAGGGGGGCAAAAACCAAAGAAATTGGATAGTTGCATTGGCTAGCTATTCAGTAGTACCAGATCAGGGATAGCCTGTCTTGTCACATAGATGGAATTGTACCGAAGCAGTCCTTGTAGCCTCGGAAGGCTAAAGCAAGGCTCGTTGTTCTGGGATTTGGAGAGTGACTGGGCAGTATGGCTGATAGTGGTCTATTCTACAGCAGGGAAAGTAATCCTGAAAGTCTCTTCAGATCTTTTGGCTACATATTCATTGGAGTGTAGATCAATTGACGTTAAATCTGTGTTTCTGAAGGGTAAAAGTATTCAGAGAGAAGTGTTTCTGAAAGTGCCTAAAGAGGCAAGGCATGCAGAGGGGAAACTACAGGAATTAAACAGCTGAGTTTATGGCCTGAACGATGGTTCAGATCTGTCTTGCTGAGAGGGAGCTGATTTCAATTAAGACCAGTATATATCAAAAAGCGAAACTTCTTCCTGATGAATGTTAATGATCTCTTATGAGGTGATACGGTGGAATTTGAAAGTACGTTAGTACAGCTCTGTTTATGTCAATCCCTGTGGATCCAGAGAAATCTTATTGACATAACCACATGTTGACAATTGATATTCTAAATTTTAAAAGGCCTGAATTTGTGCCCTTCCCCCTGAACTGTAATCGGGTTCCCACCTGCTATTTCAAAAGGCCTCCAGTTTTGGCTTGACTCCGCAAAAATCCAGCCCAGTTATTTTCGGAAAAAGCAGAACATGTAGAGATATATGGAGCTTTATCAATTGGTAATATTGGGGCAGAAGAAAGGCTAATTGTTGACTTATTACAGTCCTTTGTCGATGTTGAGATAATGAGGTAAAATAGAATAGACAAATAAGAAAATGGAGTGGGACTTTATTTTGTGGTCAAGATAGGTGGGATGTCGACCAATGCAGGGTAGAAACAGGTCGGACTGTAAGAAGATTAAAGCGGAATTCAGATTTTACATCAGGCTTCAGGGGCTTTTAATGTATTGGTTTCAATGCTAACAGGAATAGGTCTGGGTTGATCTACGTTCTATATAGAGTGCAAATGAGAAGAAGATTAAGGCTGGATCTTGTTAAAATGAAACCAATATTAGAAAAATAATCTCCAAGATCAAATAGATTGAAAGTTATAAATTCTGGTTGTTTCCCAAAAAAGAATGTTTGTACCAAAAGATTGTTGGGTTCCTGGAAGAGGGGCATGCTGTATCGGAATGATTTTATAAAGGGTATGAAATAATTTTATTCTCTGATTTGTTTTGTGTAAGGACCGTGGGTTTATTCTGTATTTTTGATTATTGGTTGAAATGAAAAAAGACCTGTTGAAAAACCAAGGATTATTGAAGGATTGCCACACTTCTTAAAGCACATAACCTGACACTCGTTGCAAATGTTGTTTATGTAGCGATTGTAACAAGGTCAGCCAGGTGGACCTCAGAAGATGGGTTCCCTGATTGGGGCTGTTAATCTGGCCCAATCAGGGAGCCCTGGCTGACAAAGAAACAGGAGTGTCAGAGGTTCTGTTCACTCCGAGCTGGCTCTGAAGGAGGTGGATCAGTGTCAAGGACTCTCCACATGTAAATAAAGGGTGACTTAGTGACAGGATACCAGCTTCTGTGGAGTTATTTCAATTTACATAGCTGTTTGTTCAAGCAACAGTGGAAGCCTAGTTTGCACACGAGCAGGAGCCATGGGCTGGGTATAAATGGAACTTTGGCTGGCAACATTGCAACACAGTGTCTCAGTGGTTAGCATTGCTGCCTCACAGTGCCAGGGACCTGAGTTCGATTCCACCCTTGGGCAAGTGTGTGTGTGCAGATTGTACATTCTCCCTGTGTCTGCGTGGGTTTGCTCCGGTTTCCTACCACAGTCCAAAGATGTGCAAGTTAGGTGGATTGGCCATGGGAAATTACCCATAGTGTCCAGGGATGTACAAGTTTGGCGCATTAGCCATGGGAAAGGGTAAGGGGATGGGGCTGGGTGAGTTGCTGTTTAGAGAGTTGGTGTAGACTTGTTGGGCCTAATGGCCTGTTCCTACACTATAGGAATCCTATTCTAACAAGTAGCTGATTAGTCTGTGGATGAGTGACCAGTTATTGATGACAAAGACCTTCTGCCTCTAAACAACAATGATTGGCTGCTAGGTAGCTGAATAGCATAGGGGTGTGGACAAGATCATTGGAAGCGACTGGTTCTCTGCAGTAAAAGCATCTCTCATCCAAACAGCCATTTTTTCCCCCTTTCTAGTTGCAGTATGCTGTGAGTTATAAAGGTTGTGACTTATCAATTAAAAGTGAGAAGCACTCATCTTGTGCTTCCTGCAAAAAGTGAAAGTATCTGGAGAAGGGAAGATTGAGAAGCAGTGTTCTGATCAACACAAGAATCATCTTAGCAAACCCTGTGGACGGAGACCGCTGAACTGCCTTCCCAGTCTTTCCCTCCACCCATGTTTGTTGTCCTGACTCTGTCTGTCCGTATGTGTGTGTGTGTATATATATGGGTTAGAGTTTCAGCTAGTAGAGCTGTATGTCAACAGTTTGTAATTGTTTATCTGCAGTTAGAATCTGTCTATTTGTAATGAATAATAATTCTTGTTAAGTACAGAAACCTGGCCCATGCATGGGTCTAAAATGCAGGCAAGTTGGGGAATTCTACATGATTTTAAAATCCTTTAATTTTTGTGATTGAATTTGGGAGTACTGGGGCTTGATTTCTAGCTCGCTACTACAGTAAGGCATTACCCTTGAAATATTGCTTGCAAGCATTAAGTTTACCTTCTTTTAAACAAAAACTTAAAAGTGTTCTGTGTTCCTTCTGGTTGTGTGTAATTTTGGTCTCTTCATAGTGGGTTACCCTTCAGACCCAGCTCTAACTGATAACCTTTCAACTCTTTGCAGTTGCCATTTGCATTGATCCCAATATTGACGTTTACAAGTATGGACTCAGTCATGCATGACTTCGCCAATGGTCTGTAAGTAATCCAAGTGCTTATTTTTCTTTCCTCGCTGCTTTTATAATTAAAGACAAGAATTGCGCAGTTCGCTTATCTGTTACTCTGCATGTAAAATCTTAGAATAGATTCCAACCTCAACTCAATCCTGCTTGTCTAGCATTCTAACTTGTTATACTTGAAGGTTCAAGATGTGAATAGGCCATTCAACCCCTCAGTACCATTCTGGGAGCACAGGCTTCAAATACTGCTTTTGGGTTCAAAGATACCAACGTGGACTGGTTTAACTGCTTCCATGTTGTAATTTCTGTATAAAATTACTCTGTTGACTGGAGACTCTGCTATCACAATTATGACATCTTGAATATAATTTTTTTTTTTAAATTTCCCCTCAGGGCATGGAAGATTGCTGGTGGAATCATTGTCTTTATCATCTGTGCCATTAATATGTATTTTGTGATTGTTTATGTTTCGAGTTTGGGGCATGTGGCACTTTACCTGATTGCAGCCTTCATTTCAGTTGCATACTTGAGTTTTGTTGCTTACCTGGTAAGTCCTGACACACATTCTTCTGTTATCTTGTAATAAGTCATAAAAAGAGCTTCCGTACTACCTCACTAGGCTCATGAACTGCTTGGTGCAGTGCTGATTCAAAGTAGGAAATTACAGGTTCAGTTAACTTTTTAAAATTTCAATATCTATAAATGATATGAAACAGGGGAATGTAGTAAACTGTGAGGACAATGGTGAAATGGGTGGGTGAAGAGCAAAAGAAATAAACAGGAGTGTGAAACAATACATTTGGTTGAGAGAAATGAGGAGAGGCAATATGGGTCTGCTTTTACAATCTTAAGGGTGCAGATACCAAAAGACGTGGGGCGAATATATATGCTTTGAAGGTATAAATAGTAGTTAAAAAAGCCTTTCAAAAACACAAATGGGATCTTTAGCTATAAGTATATACAACAGCAGAACAGAGTACAAAGCCAGAGAATCCACGCCAACCCTTTATAAAACATGAGTTAAGCAGAGCTGGAATGTTATGTCCAATACTGGGTACCATAGCATGTCAAGGCCTTGGAGAGGGCGCACACAAGATTTGCTAGAACAGAATTTGTGCTTGAGCTGACAAATGACAAGTTACATTTGAGCCACACAGCAGTAATCATCTCCAATAAAAGAGAATTTGGTCGTTGGCCATTGATGTTCAATGGCATTACCATCACTGAATCACTGAATGTCCTGGGAATTACCATTGACCACAAACTCAACTAGACTAGCTGGTGGAATTTGAATTCAATAAAATCTGGAATTAGAAGTCTATTATTATTTTTTTAAAAACCTATCTGATTCACTAAGGTCCTTTTAGGATGAAAACTGTCGTCCTTGCCTGGTCTGACTCCAGATCCACAGCTGTGTGGTTAACTGTTAACTGCCCTCTGAAATGGGCCAAGCTATTTTGAGTATCAAAAATAACAGCCTCAAAAAAGGAGGGAAAAACATACTCAACCTCATCCTCACTAACCTGCCTGCTGCAAGTGTGTCTGTCCATGACAGTATTAGTAAGAGTGATTACCACACAGTCCTTGCGAAGATGAAGTCACGTCTTCGCACTGAGGATACCTTCCATTGTATTGTATGGCACTATCACTCGCTGTTAAATAAGACAGACTTGAAACAGATCTAGCAACTCCATACTGGGCACCCATGAGGTGCTGTAGGCCATCAACAGTAGAGTCATACTGCAGCACAACCTGTAACCTCATGGCCCGGCATATCCCTCACTCTGCCATTATCATCAAGCCAAGGGATCGACCATGGCTCAACGAAGAGTGCAGGAGGGCATAGCAGGAGCAGCACCAGGCATAGCTAATAGTGAGGTGGTCAGCCTGATAAAGGCTAACACAGGACTACTTGTGTGCCAAGCAGCAAGTGACAGACAGAAATAAATGCTTCCTTAACCAACAGATCATTTCTAAGCTCTGCAGTCCCATCACATCCACTTGTGAACAGTGGTGGACACTCAATCAACTCACAGGAGGAGGTGGCTCCAGAAAAATCTGCATCCGAGCACATCAGTGCAAAAGATAAGGCTGATGTACTTGCAACAATCTTCAGCCAGAAATGCCAGGTGGATGATCCATCTCTGCCTCCTCCAGAGATCCCAGCATCGCAGATACCAGTCTTCAGCAAAATCAAATCACTCCATGTGATATCAAGAAAAAGTTGGAGACACTGGATGTAGTAAAGGCTATGGGCTCTGACATTTAGAATATGGTGTACAGTTCTGGTTGCCCTTCTGCAGGAAGGATGTTGCTACACATGAAAGTGTTTGTAAAGATTCACAAGGATGTTGCCAGGGTTTGAGCTATAGGGAGAGGCTGAATAGGCTGGGACTATTTTTCCCTGGAACGTCAGAGGCTGAGGGGTGACCTTTATTGAAGTTTATAAAATCATGAGGGGCATGGATAGGGTGAATAGCAAAGGTCTTTTCCCCAGGGTAGGGGAATCCAAAACTAAAGGGCACAGGTTTAACGTGAGAGGGGAAAGATTTAAAAGGGACCTGAGGGGCAACATTGTTCTCTGCTGTCTTGGCCCAGTGGTTAAGGCGATTGGGTTAGGAATCCATTGGTGTTTCTCTGTGCCGGCTCGAATCCTGCCGACTACGTTCCCTAAGCATTCACGTTTTTGCCCACTTTAAGGGCATTTAAATGGTCATTGGATAAACATATGGATGATAATGGAATAGTTTAGGTTAGATGGGCTTCAGATTGGTTTCACAGGTCGGCGCAACATCGAGGGCCGAAGGGCCTGTACTGCGCTGTAATGTTCTATGTTCTATGTAAAATGTGTGTATATGGAACAAGCTACCAGAGGAAGTGGTGGAGGCTGGTACAGTTACAACATTTGAAAGGCATCTGAATGGGTACATGAATAGGAAGGGTCTAGAGGGATATGGGCCAAATGCTGGCAAATGGGACTAGGTCAGATTGGGATGTCTGGTCGGCACAGCAAGTAGGACCAAAGGATCTGTTTCTGTGCTGTATGGTTCTAACATTCTGGCAATAATACTAAAGGCTTGTTCTCCAGAACATACTGTGCCCCTAGTCAAGCTGTTCTAGTATAGCTCCACACTGGCATCTACCCGATAACATGGAAAACTGCCCAGCTATATCCTGATTGCAAAAAGGTTTTCTTTCTGAACTGAAGATGTACCATAAGCAGCAACAGTTCTATACTCAAAAGAATAAGGCAAATCTGAAGGTTCATGAGAAAAGTGGGAAGAAATCTAATTTTAAGTGTTGCTTGAAATGTCAGCAGCACATCCGAGTTGGTTTACTCTCTGCAAGGGACGATGAGACTGTAAGCCTATTCTTTATAAATATTGCTATCTAGCACACACAAAAATCTCTGTGCTTTCAGGAAATTTGGGTGATTGTTAGATTACAGAAAGGAAAGAATTTACTAGTCAACTGTGCCTGTTGCTTTGACTCTGGTGTGATGGAAGAAATGCTCAGAGTGATCACTTTGTGAAGTGACTTTTGCTTTTGTTTGTTGTTTCCCCCCCCAGGCCTGGTACTGCGCAGTCTCACTGGGGGTCTCCTTTCTGAACTGTGGACGCACGGTAAGCAGCACCAATGCTGTGCTTATAGAAGAGCAAGGCGAGTCTGAGAGTTAACCAGAGAAAGCTCCTTTATACATCCCTGTATCAAGACGCTAGGGGTCTAGCTCTGTTGGGTTGCACCCTGAGCACCGTTTTGTGGGGAACCATACAGAAGCTACTCTAATCCAAGATTTCTCCAGAGGGCATTCAGTTAAACAGTCCCTGTGGATGAAGCAACCATTGTAGGGCTTTAGGATTTCAATTATTAATTAGTAACTTTTAAGTAAACCCCAAAGTTAACCCTCTACTTTTTAGATGTTAGATAATTGTGCAGATACAGCAGTGGATGATTGAGTGACCTCCACGAGCCTACTGCCCTCGACCTAATTGTAAATCCCAAACCTGTATTGTATAAAAGGTACAGTGTAGTCATGATTCAGATGTAGAAGTTCTGTTGTAAATGATTTGTAATGTTTTTAAATTAGAACAATTTTATGTATTGGAAAAAAAAAAATCAGTGCGTGGGCTGCTGTAGCTGAGCATTTGCTGGCTCAATGCTCTGGGCAGGTCTCTCTCTCTCCAAATCACTAACTGACTCAACAGTGCTCCTCCCCTACATGTCCAGAACATTCTATCTTTGGGGGAAGGGGTGGGTCCTAAAATTCACCAATAAACAGTGTTTTATCATTGAAGTATTTTAATTAAAGGTTGCCACAATTTGAAATATAGGTTGGGAGTGAAAATGGAAGTTTTATAAGTATGTGCAAGCAGGCGTGTGATGTATTCCTAAGGACCCAATTTCCAGTTTTCCATAATGGCACTGGATCAGAAACTGGGGTCTTGCAAACTCCTTCTGGACTGACTGAGTAGCTATGGTGTCTGCAAGGTTCAAACCCACATTTCCAGCAATGTTTGGAAAATGTGCTGCAGCAGGCTGAGCTGACTATTGGGTAAAGTTACATATGGAATGAATGGAAGATGTATTTATATCTTCTCTTTTTAATATTTAAATTTTAAAAGCAAATATTTTCACTTTTGAAGTTTAAATACTGAAGTGTTCCAGTTCTACAATGTGCCACCTAGTTGTGGTACGGGATCACATAGACCAGGAAGGCCTGAGGTTTTCATTAAACATAACAAGTAAGGGCTGGAGCCTACCCTTTAACCTGCCACTTTAACAAAGTCATGACAGATCTACCCTGGACCTCAATTCCTCTTTTGTGCCTGTTCATCAAAACATTCAACTCCCTGATATTTCAAAAATCTATCTACATCCTCTTGAAATACTTTCTAGCTTCCTTAGCTCTCTGGGGTAGAGAATTCCAGTCATCCACTACCTTCTGGGAGAAGAAATTTCTTCACATCTCCATTTTAAATGTGTCCCCTTATTCTGTAACTATGTCCCCTAGTTTAAGATTCCCCAACTAGTGGCAACATCTTCTCAACGTTAACCCTGTCAAACCCCCTTAGAATCTTGTATGTTTCAATAAGATCTCCCCTCAGTCGTCTTAACTCTAAGTCTAATAAATACAGGCCCATGTGTTTAGCTGTTCTTCATCAGTCGACCCCCTTCATCCATGAAATCAGCCAAGTGAATTTCTTTTGAATTGCCTTCAATGCCAATATATTCTATTTAAAATATGAGAAATAAAACTGTACACAGTACTCCAGGTATAGTGTCACCAGTGCCCTGTACACTTGTAACAAGACTCGTCAGTTTTATACTCCAACTCCCCAGCAATAAAGGCCATTTGCCTTCTAAATTACTTGCTGCACCCATTGTAACTTTTTGTGTTGCATGTACAAGAACACCCAAATACTTCTGCGCTGCACTTGGAGTGTCCCTCCATTTAAATAGTAATCTGCCATTTGATTCCTCCTACCAAAGTGCATGACCTCTTACTTTTCTATATTAAACCCCATCTGCTACACTTTTTTTGCCCACTCACTTTATCTAACTATATCCACTTGCAGTTTCCTCCTGTTCTCATCACAACCTGCACTCCCACCTATTTTTGTATCATCAAATTTGGATAAATCGCTCTGTTTTCTCTCTTTCTCTCCCCCGCCCAAGTCAGTAATATAGATGGCAGGCAACTAGTTGCCTCTTTCCAACCTAAAAAAAGACCTGTTAATCCCAACTCTAAACACTATCTTCTGTGTATAATGCAAGCTCATACATTACTTCCTATTGCTGTAAGCTCTTGTGCAATTACCTTCTGAAACTCCAAATACACTATCTCCTGTCAGTTTCCCTTTATCAACTCTACTTATTCTATTCTCAAAGAACTCCAAATTTATCAAATGTAAAAGAGAAAATTATAAAACCATATTGATTGCATGAAGCTTTTCTAAATGTCCGATTTCTTCCTTAATAATGGACTGTAGCATTTTCCCAACAACAAACATTAGCTGGTCTATAGTTTCCTGCTTCCTGTCTACCTCCCTTTATCAACAGAGTTACCTGTCTGCTGGAACCCTCCCAGAATCCAGTGCATTCTAGAATATTTCAATCAGTACCTCCACTATCTCTGCAGCTACTTCCTTTAAAACCATTGGATACAGGTCATCAGGTCCTGGTGACTTGTTTGCCTTTAGTCGCATTAATTTGTCAAGTACTTTGTCCCTCATGAGACTGTTACAAGATTTTCCTCCCATCAGTACTTTGCTTATCTAATATCTTTGGCATATTTATTGTGTCCTCCATTGTGACAACAGATGCAAAATACTTATTTAAATTATCTGCTGTTTTCCTGGTGTTTTCACTTCCCCAGTTGCATCCTCTAAGGTTCCCACACTGACATCAGCTACTCTTCCTTTAATATACTGATAAAAGCACTTGCTGTTTGTTTGTTTGTATATTTCTTGCCAATTTACTTTCATAATCAATTTTCTCTAAGCTTTTTAAATCATCCACTATTGGTTCCAGAAAGAAATTCCCTAACCTTTGGACTACAGCTCATTTTCACAGCTTTGTATGCCTTACTATTTTTTGATCTACTGACCTTCCCCTTCATCTATTTTCCCAGCCTGCTTTAGACATCTTTTTCTTCGTAATCTGTAATTGCTCTTATTTAATTTGAGATCCGAGCTGCTTTTCCTCAAACAGAATTTGAAATTCAACCATGTTCCGATCACTGCCTAAAGTTTCTCGCTAGCCCAGAAGAAATGTCCTGGACCTTGGCACAAGGTAGACAAGCCTTTGAAACTCTGTTCTTTGCTGCAGAGAACAGTATCTATTCCTATATTATCCCCTTTTACTACTAGGTTTTTCTTCCCTGCCTCCACTTGTTTTGGACTATGGTGCTGTGGTTAGTTCCACACCTGGAGCAAGAACCTTTTTAACTATTGGACAAGGATACTAGCTGAGGCTCCTCCAAAGCTAAACTCTGGATCCCCATACCTGTCTCGCTCACAGTCACACGCTCCCATCCCTGACCACAGACTAAGTTTAATGTAATTAATCTGAGGGCTGTGGCTACTTCCTGAAACTGTGGCCAGGTAATTTCTTTCCCACCTACCTGTTTACCTGAGATGTCTTGGCTCTGACTGTGCTCTCTGCTATTAGTATTTATCTCCCGCTGCCCTTCCCGTGCAGGTCCACTCTTTTCTTCTCTTCTCTTAAACTGCTTTCCCTGCTCTCTCTTGTTTGAGAAGTTGCTGTCCCTGCTCTGTCTCTCATTTTCAGAAGCACAGGATCCTCCTCTGTCACTCTTTTAGCTGCTGGTGACTGTCTCCAGGTCCTCCTCAGCTCAGTTTAAGGTTTAATCTATGGTCTGCAATGAATTCCCTGATCTCAACTGAGATTACAGTTTATGGCTCTTAAGTAGCAGGGGAAGAGTTTAAAAAAAAAAATGATTCTTGATTACTGTTGCCACACTTAACTTGGTCTATTGTGTGTGGGCGTTGGGAGGATCAGGCATAGCTGTGATCTCCATCACTGTCAAAGACCTGTCTGAGCTAGCACTTGGGAGATGGTGCATTGAGGTGGCAGAGAGTGCCTGGCACCATAAAACAGTATCCCAGCAAGAGATGATCTTTTTTGAGGGGGAAAATCACTGCAGCAAAAGAAAGACGCATCCTCCACATGCCATTTGCTCCAGTTCATTCCAACAATGGTTTTGTGGATTCTGTGTATTTTAACCCTGCTGGTCCTGGTTCACTCTCTCGAATAGAGGTTGTACTGTCAGACCTGGCACGAATCAGATTTTTACAGATTATAGTTTGATTTGCCCCAAGTTTGATCTTCAGAGAATAGTCCTGACACACACTCAGAATCTCAAATTAAAATCAACTCGATCCAGATGATAAATTTCATATGAGAATTTGTTTTCATCAATGCAAGCAAGTTAATGCTGCAGTAAAGGTGGTTCAAATGGCAGCATCTCCTTGCCCAAGTTCTGCAGTTAACCCTGGTAGATCAAACAGTACAAGTGTTCTTTTTCAAAACGTCAAATAACAGATGTGTTAGAAGTAATGATAATCATCTTTAATAAGAAGTATTCCAAAATCAATCTGGTATTCCAGCAATTTTAATAGTCATAATTCCCCCTAAACTTTCCTTTTCCTGCCTCTCAAAATAATTCTCTTGAGAATCCAGTTTCAGGTGCAAAAGTGGGCTAGCCTTCACCTCCCTCTGTCACTTTGTGCCCTTTGCTGTGGGGTATCTTGGCACAAGGCCCTCAGGCTTAGAGTACCAAAGGTATATCAAAGAGAAGGAATCAACCAGGGCAATAAAAGTCGAGCATTGCTGATCATGATATCTTGAGACAGTATGAACTCAGAAGAAAACAAGTTTGTACAGTTTCTCCAGGATGGCACACTAATGCTGTTCTGAGATTAGGAATCGGATGCACTGTTGCATCAAAGTATTCTTTACTCTTTTTAGAATCCATGTTGTATATCTACATAGTTGTGTTTGTTGCTGGGAATCTGAAATGGAAGGTGTTCCATTCCCCAGTACTAAAGTTCCTGATTTTAATAACTGCAAAACTCACAAGAAAGCTCTGCCTCTGTTGACAGTGTTGGTAAACTCTAAAAGTATAACATTCTGTGCAAATATGTTTGATACACTAGGTCTCTCTGATAGTGCTGCACTTATTTTTTTGTGGGAACTGTTTAGAGTGGAAAACTGGCTGACGTCACCTCAACCAGCAAGTTGTGAAGTTTGGTCATGGGGGTGGGGGGAGGTAAAATCTGTTCTAAATGCTACCCTCTGGTCCTCAAAATATTTCAAGCCTAGAACAAGAAAAGTCTTATTTATAGTAATGACAACAGGGCTACCTAAGTTTATTGTAAAGCCTTCCATCAACGGTTGAGTATCTGAGAACTGCTGGATGTTTGTTCCATTCTTGAGTGAGATGCTGCATTTGATTAAGGAGGGGAGATGTGCAGCCGAAGTGCTGATTTAGAAATTCTACTAGTGGTTGAGTCTGAGCATCAATTTGTGGTGTTGTATATCTGAAACCAGTGCCTAGATTTGAACTCTGCCTCAGACCTTCAAATAACCATCAGGCATTCTGTTTGCTCTGACGAGAACGGACAGCGTCTCCTGTTTAATCCTCCTGGTTTTAAGCATCTCCATGTTTTTCTCCATTCTCATTTCCTTTGCTCGTTTCCTTCACGAATGTAGACATGTCACAACCAGCAGTTTCCAAATCTCCTAACCATGAGCTATTTCTCTTCATTCCATGATTCATCATCCTTCCCCTTAGTAAATCTGAATGGGTGGGAATAGTAGAAGCATTGGGGAATATTGCATAGGGTGAGAGGATGCAGGCGAGAGCAGCTCTGCTTTGTCATTTTTTTGTTACATATTTGGAAATCATTGACAATAGTTGCGCTGAGCACAAAGGAGCAGCAAAAGCCTGTGATGAAGAATCCAATTGTAATTTTCTAGTTTGATCAGTTTCTGATCATGAAGTCTTCAGAATTCTGTAATGGCACCATTGATTTTTTTTTTAAATAAATCAGTTTGCTTGTGTGTCTCTGTTATTGTGTTTATGAAACCTGAGTAGTTTTTAAAGCAATTGTAGACAATGCCCTATGTCACTAGGGCCTCAT